ATCGTTAACCAGCAGAATTGTCGTTATTAGGCTAATGAAAATCCGCAACAGTTACACGAAAGACTGCTGCATAGCCCAAAAGTAACGGTTTGGTGCGCTGTATCGCAAACTTGCATCATTGGCCCTTACTTCTTCGAAGACGGTAATCGTCATGATGTTACCGTGAACTCAGAGCGCTACGTCGACATGATCACCAACTTCTTTCTCCCTGAATTACGACGGCGACGTGTTCCAATCCGACGTGTGTGGTTCCAGCAGGATGGGGCGACCGCCCACACAGCCCGAGCATACATGGACGTTATTCGCCCTCTCTTCCCTGGTGTCCTTATTTCCAGGTTTGGCGATGTTCATTGGCCTCCTTGGTCCCCATATTTATCCATATGCGATTTTTTCTTATGGGGACACCTCAAGGCTAGATTATACGCGAACAAGCCCCGAACTCTAGACGAATTGAAGGGCGAAATTCGCGTGGAGGTCGCCCAAGTTGAGAGAGCGATGTTGGAGAGAGTCTACGCAAACTTCCAAGAACGCATTCAGCACTGCGTCAACGATTTCGGCCACCACATGCCGGATGTGATTTTCCACACTTGACTGTCTCAAATGCTATTTCCTTGTGAACCTGATTCCATCAATAAATTTGTTTTCGAGTAAAAATCAACTATTTTATGATTTTTTAAAACCGTCCATCCTCTCTGCCGCACCCTGTATATCAGTAAGGGTGCCTCAGGGGAGTAAATTAAGGGCGTTGATATTTATTATATGGTATATGTTACTGTGAAAGTCCGAAATCCAGTGAATATCGAGATAGACCTGTGAATGTCGTATATCTGAATTATATAGCGATATTAAAAAAACATGAATTAGTTAAATGTTAATAAACTTAAACACTAGTGAAACAAGACTCATGATTAGTGACGAAAAAAGTAGTCGAATCATTTGAATATCTGGGTTTTATGTGGATACTAAAGTACTGTTTCAAGAGCATTATAAATACACTATTTCAAAAATTCCAAATAAAATTGTGTATAACACTACAACTCTTCCCCATATTTTATATTGTTCAACCATCTTGTTTGCAGCAAATGAAAACATAATTTCAAAATTACAAATTCTATAAAATACAGCTATGAGAATCATTTTGATTAAAAATTAATATGCTAGCATTAAGTATGTGTTAGAAGAACTACAGTGGTTGAATGTGAAAAATTTTATATATCATCTAGTTCTCGTTTTCATATTCGAATGCGAAAATCATTTATTACCACCACATTTAGAAAACTTCACAAAATTAAATAGTAATTATCATAACTACGAAACTAGAGGCAGTATAGATTTTCAACTGCAAAATTGTAATAGTAGCATAACTAGTAAATATATATTTCAAACGGGAGTATTTGAGTTTAATAAATTGAATAATGATATTAAACAGTGTTCGAGTTTAAACATATTCAAGGTGAAATTAAAAAATCACTTTGTGCATACTCAAAATAGCATACTCAGAATAACCGCCTAGCCGTTTGCCACATATCCTACCACGGTAATGCTTACACCATTTCTTTATAGTGGGTAGCGTTGCGCTAGGAGCTCATACCGAATGTATTAGTCATCTATTCTCTATCGTACACATACATACTTTTATACCTATGTACATGTACAACCGAGCAAAATAGAAACTTACTATCGGCTTCTTGGTCTATTTTTGTTCTTCCGTACCTTATTCAGAACCGTTCACCTCACTATTGATTGAATATCAACCCATTTTCCTTCCCGTATATGCGTGCAAAAATTGTCAGTCGATCAGTTTCAGCTGGGTATGGTAGTCAACCCACCTACCACATTGGAATAGACGATTAGGAGTATCATGCACCAGTGCAAGTGTACGCCAAATCGTATATAGTGAATCTAGCATTTTGGAGTTTTTTTGAATCCCATTCGTGACCATATTTTTTTACGTTGCATATTAACATAGTTATTTTCCCAACAAGTGCGGAAAGTGATACTTTTCCGCCCCGCAACAACATTTGTTCTACCAGCGCAAAACACGAGAAACAACGATATATTGAAACAATTATCGAAATCATATACTTCAATAATAAAAAACGTAAACGTGATGGCAGACGTCTAACCTGGGTAGGAACGTAATCCACACGGATTTAAAAAATACGGCCCTACTGGTACGCTTCGGGACATTAAACCGGCTTAGAGCAATTTCCTTTATAATTGTGGATTTGGATCCAGTAACGTAACATGGATGTTTTTTTGTAGTATGCGCATAGGATTCCGACTATATACCTTAAATTGTCTGTACTACTATTACGGTTATACCCTATTTCACCTATATCCATCACGCTTTGACATCTCCTGAGGTGAACATCTGACCAGCAAGTTTGTGTTAGTCTGCAACGTTGGCAATAATGAATCTTGTGTAAATTTAGTAAAACTTATTTGTAGCGTTTTGTTTTTTGTGCGCAAGTGAACTTTTCTAAATAGAAGAGTTTTTGTATGAAAGGAATCCGTAGCGTTCAAAAAACCAAAACAAAATATGGCTCTGCCTACCTGGCATTGACGGCATCTACTCGTGAAAAAGACTATAGCTGATATTGAGCCTAACATTCATTCATTCAGTAGGACACAAGCGAATGTCCGGAAGTATTCTATTCTCTCCAGACAAAATGGTCCAGGATAATAATGTTTTTGACACGACAGTTGTAGAGATAGCATACCAATCATCGTTTCAGATAATATAAATAAATATTATAACAAAATCTTTATTAACTCCGCAGAAAATTCGATGAGGTTCATTAGTTTTTAGCAATCCAAACACTGATTTAGTTCTCATATTTTCGCTTTCACGTAAATTAAAATAAAATTGTTCTAACTCACTTCTGCCCAGAGTTAGCTTTTTTCTTCTAGAACTAGCATCATTACAGCTAGATTTCGAATATTTCAGTTATATGCTGACGCAGGTCGAATATGCACTTCGAATGTCGGTATCTCATACGCAGGCTTTTAACAATAACAGCTGTGATTGTAGGCAATATGTTAAACTATTAACTACTTTCAGTAGCTATTTCAAGGTTTTCCAGTACACTACAAACAGATTGTCTTTTTCAATAAAAATAGGGCATTTTCAACGTGTGGGAAAACATGCCTTTGGAACATTACATATTAAAATCTCAAAAACCCCATCGAATGCTTTGCCTATTTTATATAGATTATGTTACTTTTAGCTATGACCTGAAGCGATCACAGGTGCACGTGTCTAAATATTGACAGATTAATTAAACATCGAAGTCATGTCTTTTAATTTAAATAAATTTAATGCCCTTCAAAGAGTCAAACGAATATTAATTTTGGTGTACCATCCATTATGGAGACTGGCAGACAATAAGGTTTGGAATTTATATTGAATTCTACTGTTGCTCATCATTCAGTGTAGAAAGGAATTCATATCAAGCGATGCATGAGAATAAATTCAATATTGCAGTAGGATTCACTCCTGAAAGGAATTGCATCGAAGACTACGAAATAGGTCATGGAATCGCATTCACAACACACACATTCATTTGCATAAATAGGGCCCTTATAAGACTTGAGGGAGTTTATATTGTTATATGCTGTTATATTTCTTAGCGGCTCTAGCGCTACCTTCAAGAAACACGTTTCACTGTCTCTTTGAGAAAACGTCCATGACGTTGAAGTGATGCTGATTCATTTATGAAGAGTGGACTACGCAATATGAAATAAGACAGTACAAAGTGCCAGCTGTTTCATGCTATTTGGCAACTCTACAGAATAGTGTCGTCAGTGGTCAATTCTGCTGATACTTTGTCCTGTATTATTTCGATGAACCTTACACACTGAATAGAGTGGAGTTGCTCAGCTTTCGTTCGTTGTCCACCAAGACCAAGCCTACACCATGTTGAAGAGTTGCCAAATAGAACGACACAGCTGTTCGTGGTTGGCCATGCGTGCTCAGACGAACGAAAACTATATTACTAGCTTATGCAAAATGGGTTTACAAAGAGAAAATCAACGATAAATGAAGTATAATACCTTCAAGAACGTAGTTGTAGCCTTCAAGCATAAATCGATAAATAAAATGGCTTTAACCTGTTCTTAAGGCTGTCATGACACTCATGCAATTCAGACGATTTATTTGTACATTCTCAAGGTGGACGTCAGTAATCATTGGTGCATAAGGTTACGTAGAAACTCATTGACTCCGACGAAATGATTAGTAAATACTGATGATATGGACCACTGTAAATACTGCCTAAAAGTCGTCATGCAAGATGTGGTGGTTCTATATCAAATTGTCCGTCTTACCCCGTAATTTAACCGATGCTGACAATATTTACTTTAGCTGACAGAACCCTTTGGAGAAATTCCGTAAAATTGCCCAACCAGAGATAGAAAAATGAGTAAACACATGAAACATACCATAAAAAGTTTTGAATCATAAATGCTATTTTTTTTCTTATATTCTATGGCACATCCTGAAACGTGTCAGTCAGTAAAATTCTGAAACGGAAAACGAAAGGCCAGGAATAGGTTCTGGTGGGTGAGACATTTATAAAACAAGAAAAATATACAATAAAATCTGTAGCCACTCAGTACTGTTAGATTGTTACGTCCCCACATTCTAAATAATCCGCTGGATTTTAGAGTTATGATCGTCTGAGGTTAACATTTCTAAAAGAGGGACAGTTTTGAAAGATTTGACAGAAAACTAGTGCAACTACAAGAATGGTTGTTACTTCAAACGCCAAAAATTTGTGAGAAATTATATTCGCAAAAAACTTGAAAATCGAGATAAAAAAGTATATATCCATCACTTCCGTCGTTCTGTTTGAATGTTTCTGTCTAACATCTGTCTGACACGGACTCTATTTACTTGAATCCATCTTTTAGGTTATCTATGCCACTGCTTTAGAAATTCTAAGTTAATCTGCTGGTTGGTATTTTTGCCTCTAAACCAAAATGTCTTGAATTTACAGATATGGCGTTGCTCTGGTAGGCGTCCGCCCGGCCGAGTTGCCGGAATTCTACGAGGATACCATCCTGCTTAACCCGGGCCCTAGGCATATCATGAAGAAGAGCGACACCTGCTACTACATGAGTATCACCAAGGAGGAGAACAGCGCATTCTCCGTGGCCAATCAGCAACAAGCTCAAGCACCTGCCGGTGGGGAGCCCACGGTGGTGACTGCCAAAGAGGAGGAAAAACCTCAGCAGGCTCCTCAACAGACTCAGCATCATGGCAAAGACGGTACCGGCCCCCCACAACTAATTCTGCAAGTCCCCACATGTGTCAGTGAGTGTTGCATGATGTCAAATGCCTTGTATTGCTACTTTTTGTTTTGCTGAGTTGTAATATTAGAGTTGCCGTTTGAAATGATTCTAATTGGATTTCATCTAATACTGAGTTCGGAGCTAGGTCAATATTTAATTTCCAAAAGTTCAAAGGCTCTAGGCGAGACCAAAACCATTTTCTAAAAAGCTAATTTACCCTAAAACGTTTACCTGATTTTCTGGCTCTAAAAACAATCGACAATCGTCATTCTACCCATGTACATGTGTGTAAATGCAAAATTCATTTAAGCCAAGTTAAACAAGATTTGGTACTTGACTTGTTGCTGCTGATTCTACTTCCAATTTGATCTCATGTTACAGTGGGATTACTATAACGACGTGCCATTTCTGTTGTCATTGAAACATGTCATTTTCCTATCAGAACAAAAAGCGATTTGATATTTTGTCATAAATCCGTGAGCGAGGATCCCATTTATTCAAAGAGAGTGACACTATAATTCCGAAATGATGCTTCAATCATACATTCACCATGGATTATTCAATAAAGAGAAATTGAAGTCAAGGGTCCAGAAGATCACTGAAAAGAGCGGACTAGTCTGGTTTGCATACGGTGCCTCGACAAAAGAGGGCTCTAGTGCAGGATAGTTCGCACTCACAAAAAACCTTAGGCAGCGGTTAACTACGAGATCGCAGGCGATGAATGACGGGTGATAGGCGACAGGCGTCATCGCGAGTATCTGTTTTGCATAGCTTTTTTTTGTGAGGGGGGAATGGGGAATGCGTTTATGCACCATACCATAGCCCGAGCTACGCCGTGTGTGGGACTCCAGGTTGTCTTGAGGAGACCACCTTATACCCACTAAACCCTAACCTCCGCGTGGCCCGACTCATCAGCGTCTCGGTAGGCCATGTGTTGTGCGTGACCTGCGGTCTGCTACAACGTCTCCTCATGTGTTTCAGTCTCTGAGAACGCCGGGTTGGTTCCCTTTACCTCGCACATTCTATCGATGTCGCTAAGCGATCATCGATAGAGGGTCTGCTAGGTTCTCTTGAAACTCTTGTTTTCGAAAAATCAAGAGTTTCAAGTCCTCTTACCAATATATTGTTCCTGGTCCTGGTCCTGAAGGGTCCTGGTCCTGGTGGGTCCTGGTCGTGGCGGGTCCTGGTCGTGGCGGGTCCTGGTCCTGGTTGGTCCTGGTCCTGGTGGGTCCCCTTTTGCATAGTATTTAATGTACCAGCTTATATAGGCCAGTGATCAGGCGATGTATCCGTGCAAGATGCGACAGCTATGGGCGATGCCACTCGGCGACACGACACTATTCGCATGTTATATTCTCTTCGGTGGAGGGGGTGACATTTTAAAGGTCCAAGTTTGGCTTGTAACTTCTTCAAAATACAATCGATAACATCCGCATACATTCTAAAACCTTTTAGGATAGTTGCTGTCTCTGTTCGGATGAGCACTTTATTTACTGCAAATTCGGTCTGCCACCCACAGCTTATGCCGTAAAAAGTATTCGCGCATTGTCAACTGACACCTGTAGCCTGTCGCCTACCACTGCCACCTGACACCTGCTTTCTCGGAGTACAACAGCGGCCTCACTTTCTCTTGGAGGATACGTCACTCTTGGATCTTTGGCAAACAATATCCTTAGCCGCAGACTTACTGACAACAAAATATTTGCTCAAATAGCCAGAGCTACTCAAAGCAAAAAGTACTTGTCGAATAAAGTCGGAAGCTCTTGACAATGTGGTAGCAAACGTCGTATTAACCTATTTCATAGCCTGGGTGTGTGAACTGTGGGAGAATGCGGTGGTGCCAGAAAGAAAGGATTCAGTAGAACATTCTTGCACTTCAGTACTGCTGTCGGGACAGCCATAAAAAGAATCAAGGATATAACGATAAGGTGGATCCAAAATCAACACTGAGCTGCAAAAATATCTTCATCTCGGACAGACAAGGGAACTTATCGTGGCCCTAATGCCACGGAGGCACGTCTATTGTTATGCCGGACTTAATTGCAATTGTTGATTGGACATCTAGCATATGTATTATATGGCATCACCTTGATATCATGGAAGTTGTAGATGATATCCTTTATGGACGATGTAGCAATGTAAAGTCCTTAACTTACAATTTATGACGCTGAGAAAACTTACGGTATCAAAAACAGGCTATAACCAGAAGTTTGAAGATGAGCAGAACCCTGGACTATCTTGGCGTTTGCAAAAGCGGTAGGTCACGAGAGCTAGTGCAGACAGAGATGCAAAAGGGCCCACTAAGTGGGCTAAGTACTAGTGGCATTATCCTCTCAGTCATGATGATGCTGGAGAGTCGATTAGCAAGCGACGGTGGCTAAGCAGCAACGCGATTAAATTCAGATCATTTCACGTGAATTCATTTGAGGGTCAAAGAAAGGCATTCAAAATAACGTGGGGATGTTCTGTTAAGAGACTACGTATATATAGTAATAAGCAAAATCCCCCATAATACCGCAAACATCCGTCGGTAATTCTTAGCATCGCAATGGCTTGTGCCGAGGAATATCACAGCATACCAATAACACCTGTTGCAGCGGGATCCACGCTAGGCGCTCCTACACCTCAGGACCCCAATTCTTGAGCACAGTAGAACGGAATGCTCTCTGGGAAATGCTCTTTCCGACAGTTGTTAACATCCGTCAAACAAGTTTATGAATGCATCCTTTTTTGATTATTCATATTATTAAATGTCCCATCACAAAGTCAACATTGTCTTTAGAGATGAGACTGGAGGTCGACGGCAAGAAGTCCGCACTTTTTCGCTCTAAAATAAGTCGGAGAGCCACTTTTATATCAGTGTCCTGGAATACAGGTAAAAGAACCAACGCCCGCTTTCTCACAGTTATTTTACTCCCTATTTCAATAATTAACCACCTGGAAGTATTTTTCTCTATCAGAATCACAAAACGTGTTGTGCGATCGCATAGCGCAAAGTGTCGGCATGCGGTGCTATCCTGTGGGTGATCACATCAGTAAGCGCTAATGGGAGGGAAATTATTTTCGATGCTCTCCTCTCCCGTCCCCAGTGTGGGCTTGACGTGAAGTGTCGATTACTCTGAGAGGGGTTGTGTTATAGATGGTAATAGGGTAAATAGGATAGTTTAATGAGTAACAAACGAACCAAAACTAACGTACTTTCAAACTACAATTCTAATGTTACGGCGCTGTTAAAGTTCTGCTGACTGCATCATACGTAACTAAATAAGAGTCAAGGTTATCCACCAAGCAGTTAATTGTTTATTACCACCAATTCCAATGAATTAAATATGGTGTAAAAATAGTTTATGATTTTTGATTCTTTGAGGGGTGTAAGTTCATTAAATAATTGATTTGGAACATGTCAGACATAACTCAATTTTCTGGGATTTATCATTTTGTCTATAGAACGTTTCGTCTCTTCATGTTGATTTGTGTGATGCTGTCAGTATTTTCAGATCCTATTTGTAAAACCGTAATAAGATTCACTCTGCAGGGCATCTACAATTCCAGAAAGGCAAGAACATATTGTGGTTCTATTCTTAATATAGTTTAGCGCTTCCTAAACATGACGTAAAAATTTAATAGGTGATTACTTATACTGTTCTAAGACTATTCTGACATTCCACAATGTTCCAAAAGATGATGGAATAGGCCAAACAAATCACATATGATTCTTCTCAATTTATAAAACTCCTTATCTCCGTTTTATTTTTAATTGTAACATTAAACATTACAGAAAATTGACCATGTAAAGTTGTAAGGTCTGACTTGGAGGTATGTTCATTCCCTACAACTGTTTTGGACACTTTTTATCAACGATTATACGCAATAAAGTGTATTTTCCAAATTTCATAAAAAGATTACCCATCAATTTTTTTTCTCCCGATAAGGGGCCTTTTCATATCCATCCAAGAATTTGATTCAATTCCGAAACAGCTAATCAATTTTTTTCTCTCAAATTCTGTCTAAAAGTTGTTTCAGTTGACCGAATTGCAAGTAATTTAAGATTTGAAATCCTTTCCCCCAAGTCTTTGTTTACTAAACAAACCCGCTTTTACGGACGAGAACATCCGTATGCGGGTTACTAAAACACTGCTATTTAATTGTTATTCGTAGTAATGCGCTGTGGTCCATGCGTGCATTCCTCAGTTGTAGTGAATGTTTCGTATTATGCACGCATAATCCATAACCTGTGTCAACAACCAAATAACAAAGTTTTAAAATAAACTAGTCCTAAAATACTCTTTAGGATCATATAAAGGAAGGTGAGCTTTAATTAAGACATTTTATAACCTCAATAATAACAATTTTTGACCAAGAGGGCAGTTTTTAGGATTTTAAGACCTTAGTCCGCTTATAACACAAAAGCAGTCAGCTTTATGATATTTTTGTTTAGAATGAAACAGTATGCCAGAAAAGACTTTACCTGAAGCTAAAAAAGCAACTTCTCGTAATTTGCTTTAAATAGATTGTCTAAATTTCGTACTAGATTATCACCCACAACCTCTTGATTCATGCTGTGGGGCATCCGAAAAAAGTAATTATACAAAACATCGAGTCGAATGCGAGGTTTCCGCCTCAAATAATGTAGAAGATCTGAGAAATATTTTGGTGAATGTGACTCTAATACCCTAATGTATTTAAAAGAGGTTAGCAGTACTTACTGCAACTACGTACTTCTCTCATTTTTTCAAATAAGGGGGTTTAGCTTATGAGGGCAGCGTTTGTAGATTAAGAAGCTTCACCCTTTTTGTGTGATTTATATGATACTAACAAAAATTCAGGTATTTACAAGAATGTTTGACCTCTCTGTAAAAATTATCAATAAACAATGTAGTCTCAGAACAGTTCAGAGGATATCTCTTGACGTAATTGCCTTATGTTTTGAGTTCATAGTGTAAAATATTAATTACAGATATTACTCAGATAATTACGAAACGTCTAGAGCCCTGCGATAGACAGTTTGATAAGTAAAGTATTAATGAACTACTCCGTATAGTCCATAAGGTAAAAGCTACTATTTTAGGCAAATAAGAATATAGACTCTATTATTACATTTACATAATAGCTCTAATTATGAAAATATTACGAGTCTTATCACGGTTTCCAACATTCATTACGTTAACATTATCTATAGTAAGTATATCATCATAAACGTATCACAGGAGGATGATTACACATTATATACGTACATATTGTTATCTATCTAGTTTCTCTAGTAGTTATCATTTCTAGCGATGTATCGCATAAATGGATTATTATTTGAGAATTGGTAAGGTGTAATGTAGATGCACAAACTGGCAATATAAAAGAACTGTTTAGATTGGTACTGAGAAACCTTATTTTAGTAATCATGTTGGGTGGTTTGGACCATCGTGTTCGTTGTCGTTGAAGACAAAAAACAATGGAAGGCAGAGCTTAAAGTCTTGGTCAACTATACTGTACCAGAGCAGGATCGTATACAGCACGTCACGTATGACAAGCGTTCTATTTTAGCACAACTGTTTCACGTTGACAGTTCAACCCATGTTCTCCTTTTTCCCACAGAATCCTTATTTTCGGGCTCAATCAATTTTCCTCCGTAATAAAAAATATTGAGAAAATTGAGATGGTGTTTCTCGGACTCCCATTGTCTTTAAAGTTTTTTTTGACGACGGCGACATTTTGATTGATGTGATTTGATTTTGATCACTTCAATCGAAACGACGTGAAACAAAAAAGCTATAGACAGTGGAAGTCCGAGGAACAACATTTCGAACATTTACAGTGTCATCAAATTTCAGACAACAATATAGGAATAATGGTATCTTTTTGCCTGCTGACACCTAAACGCGAGGACTGTCTAGTGCGGACGTTGCCCTTCCTGTACTGTCCGACACAAACCGTATAGTCACCAGCAAAAAATACGGTATTGTCATAAAGCTTTACTGCGTAGTGAGCATTATAGCTTATAGGATCATCCGGATACAATCCTACAAAAAGGTGATTCATTTAATTGGATCCAGGAAATTTAGTCGATTTCTTCTAAAATATCTCGCAATCTAGCGAAAAACTATACGATTTGAGCAATAAGAGCAAGAAAGTTTTTCATAAATCTTTTGGTTTAGCTAAACAAATCTATTAGTTTCATTTGCCACTAGGGAGCAAATTCGACCAATCAGAAAGAAGGCTTTAATTCCCACTCAAACCGGGGATCGATACGATATGACGGTAATTACTGGGTACTTTATTGAAAATAACAGTGTCACTACTTGTCCAGAACAGATAATTTTGGGCTTTTATTTATTTCATTTTTGGAATTTCTCTCCGCCGCTACTGGACGGCTTTTCAAAAACTCTTTCGTCCTTGGCATAGTAATAAACTCGTGTAAAAATTTCATCAAAATCCAAGCAATACTTTCTAAGTTATAATCGAGCTAAGGATTTGCGGATAGACAGACAGACGGAGATGAGCGACATGGTTTTTCATGATTTACTGGTCATATAATATTCAGATAACACAATATCTAGGTTTGGAAATTTTTCGCATTTACAATACCTCGTCAGTGTCGTAATTAGTGAAAGGGAGATCTTTTCAGATATCCATCCACATGTCCATTGAATTGCTGTATGATGTTCTAATTCGGACGTATGAACCACTGTGTCCCGGTATGTTTGTGGAATATGTATATTTCTTTGGCAAAAGCACATGAAAAAGCCTTCAACATATTTGAAGTAAGAGTAGCCTTTTATCAGCTGTCTAATGTTGTCACATCAAAATGCTCAACGAAAAGTCGTGAGGGTGAAATGGCGCTGATTCCAAAAAATAAACTTCAGATTGATTTTATTCCGTTCTCCCTGTTGACAGCGTTTTCAACAACGTCTTACATAAAAGCAATTCCTTCAACCATTTTAAACTTATATATTGAACACAAGTGAAAGGAGGATACGACTTGGTGGGATATATCTGTACATACGCACACGAGGTGCGACAATTACAAGCCATACAAATTCCCTCTAAACACATATTAAGCATATAAACAGTTGGAAAGGAAGATTATTTTGCATAGTGTTTAAGTGATTTGAAGATTTAACCGAAATTTGTTAAAGAATAAGCATTCTCTAATGTAATATATGTCCACCGAATTTATTAAGTAAAAGAAAAAACAATGTTTATATTGATTAGGTTAATTAAAGATTTTGTTGAAATCTTTACCTAGTTAACAACCTATATAACCTCTTTCAAAATTTCTCAGGCATTTACTTTTAATTTGAATTTGATTCTATGTGTTTTTTACAACGTGGATTGATACTCGATTCTGGTTGGTGGAATTTGAACTATGGTCCTGAGATCAAATAAAGAAATAGGTTCTTGTAGCTGAACCAGGTGATTTAGAAGGAATTTCTTGAACGAATATGAGGAGGCCTATCACATAAATCGTAAAATGTTTCTCCAGTTTAAGAAATGTTAAAGAAGAAATCGACTACATTTGTTAGATCCATTACTTAAAAAATTCATTCTGGTTGATCAAATTTACTCTTTAGCAGCAAATTTTGCTTCTGGGATCAAATGAAAAGATACATTTTTGTAGTTAAACCATATAATTTATAAATAGTTTATTGAAGCCCATCTTACACAAACCGTATAAGAGATTTGAGAGATATTTAAGAAGAAAAGGTTGTAGGTAAACCAGCTGATGTAAAAAATAATGTTTTGATTTGATGAGAGGATTACAGTCCTTAGAGAAAAAATCAACTGCATCTGGTAATTTTTATCATCAAAGAAGTAACTATGGGATTCGTTTTTGTTCTCAATATTGGTCGACGTTGCTGTGAGCAAGGTGCATTGTTTTGAGAGGTATTTGCCAATTAAGGCGAGTAATGCTAATCTTTAGTTCATAAAACGTACTCCCTTATCCACACAAATGTAACCCCAATGGGAAAAAATCAGATAATCAGGAAATTGGCTGCATGTAGCGCACCGCCAACTTCTTCAAAAAAAATGTTCGGAAGACCTAGACTTGATTTTCAAACACCAAGTATGTTATCGAATTGGAATTCTAGTACGGACCGAATTGAGTGCGCTAATAGCTAGAGAAATGGTCAGGGAAGTAGCCTACAAAAACTGAATATCAAGAATGCTACCTTTCTTCGATAATAAAGATAACCCGAAAATGTTGATTATTCTAATTTTTTAGTTCTTCTTGAGAAAGTTCCTCTACATGACCCGTTATGATCCTAGTACATACGATACGGCACAAGCAAAAAGCGTAACGCGACAAAATGAAATGAATAAAGGCCAATTCCCATCTAAGCAGCATCGAGCGGCGCGACGCAGAGTCGAGCGGTGCAGCCAAATGCTGCTCACAATTGTCTACTTGTAATTAAATGAAACCGTTTTCACATAAGCAGAGCGGCGCTGCGCAGAGCAGAGCAGCGCGACACAGCAAAATTTTAATTCCTGGTGAAGCATTGACTCGCAGCATTGTCGCTACACATGCGCGGCTCTGCTTGTTGACGGACAGGTGGGCATAGAAGGTTTCGCATGCAAGCAGCAACTTGTTGAATTTTGCCAAAAAGTCATCGTCACAGTTTTAATTATGGACGGAGAAAAAATCGAAAAGCTTATCCTTCTTGTGGGTGAATACAGTGAATTATATGATATGGCTAATAAAAACTACAGTAATCAAAATAGGAGGGATATAGTTTGGTTGGAAATAGGGAATAAAATTAATGAAAAAGGTAAGTGCTAATTAACTATTGCTTTAATTATCCATTTAAATAACATATGAAAGAACTAATTGTTGACGGGTCCTTTTTAAGAAATAATTGAATACAAACAGGATATTTTCGTCAAACTGTTACTAGATTGCTTAACAATTACATAAATCAACTGAATATGCAACATTTTTAAGCATTTATGACTTATTTAAAAAAACGCAAATTTCAAAACCTCAACCATTTTCCGGCATTAATTGCATCCCCCTGCCAAAAAACTGCCCCCGAATCAGGGTTAAAATATGCCTTAAAAGCATCTCTTATTTTAGTTGCTTCACTAGAGCATTTCCGTCGTCCGAAAAGTGTATGGAATTCGTCTTCATTCAGCCTTGCACGAAATATGTCATGGACCCAATATTTTCGCTTACTTTTTTTTCTCTTTTCAAGTTCATGGCATACAGCTGCGAGAAATATAAAATCGTCTGATGACGAAGATGATGACATCTTGACGGCTAGATCAAAACTACGCGTCGCGTATGCTGCCTCATGCTGTTTAGGTGGGAACAGATACATAAAAGCGCTGCTTCATGCTGCTCGGCGTCGCTCTGCGTCACGCCGCTCGATGCTGCTTAGATGGGAATTGGCCTTAAAAGTCCATAAGCGGATTTATCCGCCTTAAAAGAAACGTAGATGGCATCATGAATATTTTTATGTTTTATTATGTCAGACGTCAACATTTTTGGTTTCATTTAAGTACTTGACTGTTCTTTGAAAGCTCAAAGCTATTTTGGCATTTCTGTCCCAAATTCAGCAAAAACACAATGAGACCAGAATGTTGCGCTTAAAACAAAGCCTAAAGATAAAGTCCTATTGCAATTCTATGTTATTTTTATTTTTCATTTTTTGTTTTTGTGGGCGCATTGTCGCGTTATTTGTCTCTCAGTATATTTTATCAGAGATTTACTGTAGGACTCGTGATACGGGACGCTTATGACACTCATAGCGTCTCATAAAAACTATATAAGTTAAATTTAAGACTTTTAATAAACAAGCAAGTACCTGAATAAAAAGAAGAGTGTTGATGAAAGCTTCTGTTTTCTGAAATACTCGTATTTCTGAAATATCTAAATATAAAAATTTAATAGATGTGATCGAATTAGAATTTGAGTTATTTTTAGAGAAGAAAAAACCTCTTCTATTCGGGGTGTCTGGCTATAAGTTGACCCCGCCCCCTCTAAGTTTTTTATATGACCTTCAAGAAAAGTGCTGTCGGATAAAGTCGTATTTTTTTAAATAGAACACCCTACATACAGGGTGTTAGGGAAATGATATTCGTAACTTTAATAAGTGTTTCCTTGTATTATTCTAAGCAAAAAAGTTCATTATACCTTATGTCCGAAAATCAATCGTTTTCGAGGAAAGTGAGTCGTATATAATTAAATTTTCTCAAACGCACCCGCGATACGAGCGCACGACAACCACAACTGATTCATGGAATTGTTTACGCTTGTATGATATTTTTGTTAAAAAATATGTCTTGAATTATTGAATACTCTTTTTTGTCGCTAACATTTTTTATTTAATAACGATTTCAGTACAGTACGAGGGATGTCTTTTTAGTTTTGCATAGGGAAATAAAACAACACGGTAGGTAGTTTTAAATGACTTTATTGTTTTTCGAAGTATTCTCTACGGAGATTAATACACATCTGCATGCGCTCGAACCAATTTTCGAAGCACTTATTCCACTCGTTTGCTGGCAGATCCAAAACAGCATTTTTGAATGCGTCAACTGCTTCTTCTGGTGACTGGAACCTTTGACCACGCAGTCTGTTTTTAATTTTCAGGAAAGTAAAGAAATCGTTAGGACTTAGATCGGGACTATATGAAGAATGGTCAAATAATTCTACGTTTTCTTCCGTTAAATACTGCCTTGTTTTTTGGGATGTGTGCGAGTTTGCATTGTCTTGGTGGAGGATGGCTCTTCTTCTGATTTTTCGGAGCTCGGTGATGACTTTTGGCAAACAAATGGTGATATACCAGTCCGCAATAACAGTTCTTTGCTCATTAAGAGGAACTGTTGCAATTTGACCCGGTTTTGATACAAATGTCGCGACCATCTATTCCGAAACACTTCGAGATGACTTTTGTTGGCTTTTCTTCACCTTGGAACACCCAAACAGCCGACTGTCGTTTATTTTCTGGTTCAAAACAATAAATCCACGATTCATCGCCACTAACAATGCTGTACACATTTTTTGAGTTTTCGTACATTTACTTAAAAAAGTGACAGAACTTACCGGTACGTGGCGATACGTACCACCAATTTCCACAGTTATCAGTCACTTATATGAAACGATACAATGCACGAAAAAAGAAAAAAAGCGACAAACGTAAATCACATAAAGTTACTGTTAAATATATTAGTAATTACAATAGTTCAAAATGGGAACCATGGACATCTACGCAAGCTTGACACCGTCGAACCCAATTTTCTCCAACTCGTTGAAAAATTAAAGGCATATTACGTATTTCATTAGCGGCGGGCCAAAATACGCTCACTTAAATCATTCTCATCCCTTATTTTAGAGACGAAAACTAATTTTTTCATGAATCCCCAGAAGATAAAATCCGATTAAGATCGGGGGATCTAGCCGGCCAGGCATTTGGACCTTTTCTTCCTATCCACCTATTCTCATAGGTATTATTGAGACGTTCCACAACTACTCGACTAGCGTGTGCTGGAGCACCAACGTGCAAGTACCACATATTAATTCGTGTTTGCAATGGCACTCCTTCCAACAAAACGGGCAAATTGTTTCTTAGAAAAGCTAAGTAGCGTTCAAGCAATCTGGAAAAAAAAATATTAGTTGATCACCAATTATACCAGACAACATTAACAGAAAATTGACACTGCAAATTCTTCTTTGCAATTGTATGGGGATTTTCGCCCGCCCAATTATGAAAATTGTGATAATTTAAAATTCCATTTCTTGTAAAACAAGACTCATCTGTTGACAACGCATTCGCTACAAAATTGTGATTTCTTCGGTGTTTACCCAAAAAGCAATTAGTAAAATTTGCTCTTCGTGGAAAACCTTCAGGCGAAAGAGTTTGAACCCTCTGAACATGATCTGGGTACAATAACTGTCCTTTAAGGATCCGATGTACAATCCAGTGTGAGACACCGACTTGACGAGCAATACTTCTCGTACTCCGTATCAAATCCTCGTCAATTAAATTCGAAATGTGTTCTTCGGTTTCCACGCCAACTTCACGATGTCTTCCGCGATTGTTAAAATTAGGTACTACGCTCCCTGTGTCCAGAAGTCGTTGGAATACTTCTACGAATGTTCTTCTAGCTAGTAGCCTTCGATCAACAAAACGTTCTTCGTAAATACACCTAGCCTCTTCAGAATTCCAATAAGCCTCTCCGTAAATAACAAGCATATCGTGATACTCGCGTACGGAAAACATCCCTTTCGCATCAAAATGCACGCACTGATACAGTAATACATACTGAATAATAAAATGTGATTTCAATTCGGGTGTAAACATTACTTGCATTAACGTATGCAAGAAACTATTTTCCGATGTAGGTATTTATTTTTTTGGCAACCGACACGATGTCGGTCGTGGACAATACGCGATGATACATGCAGGGCAGGCGGGTACAACGCTGGCAGTTAAGTGAGGGATTTTGTTTGTCTGTTTTTCTTCGGAAAATTGTATTTAATCAGCAAGAAAATTATTTTGTTAGAGACAGTTAATGAATAGATGTATTGATACATTTTACGCTATTAGGCATATGAATTTAAATTATTAAGGTGTAAAATTAATTTATTTCATTACTAAAAAGAAATAAGTTCAGCATTTTTTTGCTCCGAAACGGTTGATTTTCGGACAGGTTATGAACCTTTTTGCTTAGAACAATGCAAGGAGTCTCCTCTTGAAGTTACGAATATTATTTCTCTAACACCCTGTATTTTCAGGGAAAATCACAGTCCCTTTTCTTCTGATTCAAAATATATATAGTTCATCATACTTGTTTTAATTAACGTTTCTATGTCATTTACTCATGTCTATCAGAGTTCGAACCAGTTTGCATCTAACCGCCTATGCAATCTGGTGTAGGACCAGAGTACGTATGTTAAATGACACACAAATTTCAATTTTTTTACTAAAGTGATAAAAAGAAGCTTAACATATCCTATATATTTAGGATCAGAAGCAATTATTTTCACTGAATATGTACAGGTATTAAAAAATACAACTTTTTCTCAAGCACCCGGTATACATCAAAAATATCGCATTTAAAGTTCATATTACTACACCTTATAACTTTTATACACAACTTTTCCTTCTAGAAGGTCATATAAAAAGTTAGAAGGAAGGTCAATTTACAGCCGGACACCCTGTACCTTGATCCTTTGTTTAATCATTAAACATAAAATACTGAACGTTCAAAAGTGTGCACGTCTAAGCTTTCCAGACATACATTTCAAAAACTAAACAGATTATTAACTTCAAATTTTGCAATAATCATTTATCGCCAATGAGGCATTCCTATAATCAGTTTCCTATAAATATAAAATCAAATAATATAAAAAAACAAACAGTACAACAGAAACTGCCGATTTATCAGATTGCAATCCAAATATTTGGAGGTGGATTCTCTCCAACTGTTCCAAGTAACGTGTCAGCACCCATATTTAATATGCGTTTTAAACATTTCTGTATAAAATTAGTCATTAAACTATATGGATCAGAAGTATTCATTGAACTATGGTTCTAAAATCAAGGGTTTTCTTGTTATAGGGCGTTTAAGCTTAATAAATTCGGGCTATGGGCTAACGATACAGACTAACATGATTTTTATTTTTTCGGCCATTTAGTAGAGACTACTGTAATGCCGATTTGACACATCTAGTGGATGTCTGCCGATTTTCAGACACATTTTTGCACATTTTCCGGTAGTATAAAGTCATTACAATTTTCGTGGAAAATAAATGCCGTTCAAACTGTCTATCCCATTTCAAAAAAATTTGGACCGAAGATTGAACTATCAATGGCTTCTGAGTTGTAGGATGCGCAAGTCATTGAAATACTTATGGAAAGTAGCTCATTCCTTGACAAATTGGATGGAAATTCCAGTCAGAGGCTACTAAATTTTTAATCAATGGCCGAAGAAAACATAAAATCATGTTGGTGTCTTTCGCAAGCCCGTGCCTTTTTCGAGTTTATGAAGCTTGCGCAGCCCCGTAGATTTAAGGACGATGGAGGCTTTTGATCAGATTGGTATGGAGAACAAACTAAAGTTTGCCATAAGGGATGTGGCATATCGCCAAAACGTTAAGTTGCTCATGAAAGCACACTGCAATGACGATTCACGCGTCTTCAGCTGATTTCAGAACTATTCGGGCTATTACTCAAGCATATATATAGTATCGATAAAAACAAAAAAATTAACTGTCACCTGGAAGGCAGACGAATTAAATATCTTGGCATTGTCATTTCGTACTATGAAACAGGCTTCCACAGTTGACAAAACGGCAGTAATCTTTCATTTCTACATCTACGGCCACGGATGAGTTTCCGATGTTATCGTACATTAATGAAAGCTGATATCTCGTTTCCCCGAAGAACATTTGCCAGTACATACGAGCCCGAAATCCTAGCTTTTACTCGAACAGGAGCAAGCTACCCAAGTAATAAGAAAATAAAAAGTTAAAAAGTTTTCTCAGGACATTTCTAATTATAAATTTAATGTGCTTTAAACTGTTCACAAAATCGAACTTTTATTATTTGACAACGTCACCGGAATTGTACATAAAGTACTTCACATAAAAAGTAGATAGCACATATCTTAACGTTAGCGTCATCCAACGAAATAGGACGAATCGTAAAATCCTCTCGTCTACAGCCTGTTAATCGCAAAGCAGATTACAACTTGCTTCTTCACAAAACGTTGTCAGTGTTGTGTATAACACGGATATACAGGGAATTTGTCTTGGATTACTTAGCGCAAAGTGTTAGTACTTAACATACATAATACATACGATCTGCTCAAGGCATTCAACTTTTTTAGTTGCTAAAATAAATGAGACAGTCTAACAAGGGTTGTCAGATGTAGATCAGATGTAGATCTGACAACCCTTGTACTGTAGAGTACTCCTTAAATTAATAGTCTCTCCCCAGGTCCCTTATTACTAAAATGACAAAATAAAGGTGTAACGATATTTGAACGAGCGTTTAGACTCGGTTTTGAATGTAACAAATGTTTCAAAGTAGTTGTACGTGTTGCCTAAACGTTATGAGGCTTCAGTTATCAATGTTTGGCTCTGATGTGACGCGAAATCTGCTTCAGAGATGGCTGGATTACTGAAGGTAATGGTAATGCATAGGTGCATAGTGAGGATTTGTGTGCTAATAATATATGTTGATGATAATTCCATTGGATTCTTGTCTCAAATACACTTACTTGAGATTCAAAGTTAGAAATTAGTGGCGCATCCACTTTTTCTTATCCATTCTGGAAATTACATATGCAAATTTGCTGAATTTCAAAAATGAGAAAGAATAAGAATTATAATTATATTCACTGTAGACTGTCGAATTACAAGTCATATACATGCTAACGGTAATTACACACAACGCGGGTACGGTGGTGATGTCCCGTAATTCTCCTCAAAGTTTTTAAAAACACAAAAAACGTAAAAAGTCGTAATTGAACAACATATAAATAACCCGTCGGTCACAGCTAATAGATATACTCCATTGGCAGCATAGTCAGTAATGATAAATAACCAACTTTCTTCTCAGAGATGAAAACTATAGACCACTCGGCTTCACAAAACATATGCAACCAGCAATGCGGGTATACGGATAGTTGAGCCGTTCCTCCATAGATGGACGCTCACAACGATCCTTGTTAGCAAACATGGAATGACTGCACCCTAAAAACTACCTAGTCTGCAAGATGACATCTTTTTTGATGTTTTATAGGTTTCTTACATAATACCTGTGCCGTTGAGTTTTTGGGCATGTATACTTCAAGACATGTGTTCAAGATACCACGATACAAAGAATTTCACAAAATTCAGTGACATTAACTGAAAGCATTCTTCCAAGTAGAGCAGATGGCTCAGTAGGATCCATACTCCAACATACCGACTTGGAGGGCCTGTATTTCAGGACCCGTTGATGTTGGAGCTCCGTGTCCATTGAAACATTTCTTCAGAACGCCAAGACGCGTAACATTAAATATTCATCGAAATTAACTGAAACCCTTTTTTCACTTAAACCATACATCAAAGTATAGGCAATACATTATAATTACTTGGACGGCCTATATCTTGGGACCAGTTGGGTTTTAGGGTATGTGCCAAATGAAGACGCCGAGACACGTCACATATTATAAGAAGCTTAACGAAATAAACCGAAATCACTCTTCCCCTTAAATCAGATATTCGAGGTCAATACCCCATTATACCTACTTAGACGGCCTATATTTTGGGTCCAGTCGAAGTTAGAGCCTTATATAAAAAATTCAGCGAATTTAACCCAAACTACTTTTTACAAAGGCGTTTTGCCGGGTCCTTCCTCACTATATTCCAAAAGCCTACAAGAACTGTCTAGATGTGAAGCCTTCATTAGAAAACTTTTATTCCAGCATCCTTATATAACCTTCCGTACTTTTCTTAGGTTGCGTTTTCCTCCGTATCAAAACGTGATACTGGCGCTACAAGCGGTCACTGTACAGAGCCAACAGGGATAAGACGATCCCAAAAATCATAGTTCAACCCTGTATCTTAACAAGTGCAACTTAACCAAGACATAAGTTTCAGATATCGTTATTTTACAAGTCAAAATCTAGATTTGCTTTTTGGCGCATTTATTAACGAACATATTTCTTAGTATTTCACTAAAATATGTAAATATAATTCCTGTGAAAGTACGATCCTTTGCGCTAGCCTATCTTTTTTATACACTGTCATCTCTTTGAGGTATGCCTGAACCAAAGGTTTTATCGCTCTCTTTTGAAAGCTTGAATAATACACAGGCAGAGGTCGCTTTGAAAGGTAGAAACGATCTACTTACTAAAATGGAATATTATTTAAAGTTTGTACTGCAGCTGAAAGAAGAGATAATACGGTTGTAATACAGCCAGAGCTTTTCATGTGACAGTGATATCTAAGTTACCCTATGTATCCGAGCCAATATGTGCTGCGTAACACTTGAATGGAAGCTGCTTTATATGTCTCGCATATCACACACAAACAACACACAAAGAAATATGACAAATTCTGCTGTTTTGTTATCTCTTTTCAAAATGGTTTGCAAACAGAATATCAAAATAACCAGAAGCTTCATGTTTAATGTACCGTTAGTTCAGTGATAATAGACTGAAACTGAAATGAACTGCAGATAAACAGCGGTTAAAATGAATGCTACTTTTGGAACAACACAGAGAAGAAATTCAGTTTATTTTCATTTCAATTTGAGGTACGGCCGCCACGCGTAAACAAGATAAGCATTCCAGGTGTAAGCGAATTAATTTATTGACTTAGTTAATTTGAGATTGCCCAGGTATTCTTCCGTGTATCGTGCGTCATTCGGTTTATTTGTCTGTGGGAATTGTATACTATTCCAAACTGTGCAGAGGAAAGTGCGTTTCTACAAGAATCAATTTGTTTTTCGTTAACATTTTTGTGCGTTTTGATAAAGTAATTTCTGTACCTTTTGTGATATATCCCTATTTCAAGTTTTGTTGCACCCTTGATACTTCATATACGGTTGTAACTTTTTTATTTTTTAATAAGTTTTTGACACTGTTAATGTTTACTTCCTACGCCTACTGGCGAGGAAGTATTGAAATCGCGAAAAAAATCGAAAATACAATTACGTGATGAAAAACCATGTCATTCAGTTCTATCGCTCTGTCCGTTTGTCCGTCTGACTGTCTGCCTGTCTGTGTGTCTGTCGGTCTGTGTGTCTGTCTGTCCACTATTTTTTTGGCCCGTCTATAGCTTCGGAAGTACCAGTCGCACTTTGACGAAATTTGCACACAAGGTTATTACCTTGCCACGGACGAAAAGCTTTATAGATTTTGAAACTCGGTCAAGTGGCGGCGGAAAAATGCCAGAAACGAAGCAAATAAAAATTACTTATGCTACGTTTTTTGACATTGCAGAGGAACCTGATCATTTTTGAAAAATATTGTAGGAGTAAAAAGGTGGGGAGGTGTACGGGGGAAGGGAAGGGTATATCGCAATTTTTTATTAGCCATATTTCACACGTCATAGATCGCCCCGTACAGTTGCACTTAGAACGATATAAAAATGTTTTCGACGAACGTCTCTGCCTCTGCTGACTTCAACTGCCGCGGCAAGCGCGCCGGTGTTAGTATGTGTCCTGCATGACTGGTGCTCTGACGCTTTCAGACATTAGGGAGAGGCGACGTGGTGTTGTCATATGGACGGTACTTTGAGAAGACCAGGGAAAGTATGTTATGGACTAAACTCTGTTATATATGTTCGTAACTAACTTTTTTGTATAGCTTTGCTCTCTGGTACAACGAACGAAAGCATAGCAACACTATCCTCTATCCACGATATAAGGTCTATGGCGCTGATAGTCAAGCTTATTTAGAGACTACTACAGTGATTTTTATAACTTTACTTTGAGCATGCTATTCGAAAATAACAGATTTAACAAAAACCGCCTGTGAAAAAATAATTATTTCCATTTAGCACTGCTCCAAAATTGTTTCAAATACACCAGTAACATTTTTTATTGGGTTACATCCTTCAATTTATCTCATTTCTCACATCTTCCACATTTTCCACTGGAATAGTTAAAACTAATCCGTTGAGGACCCCATAGGAAATAACCGTGGAAGATTTAAGTCTGTAGATCAAGTGTACCACAAAGTGGAATCCTACGACTTATATAATCTATGACGTTCGTATATTTCTGTTGAAAACTGAGGAACAACCACAGTGGAGTGGAGTGGATGTAACTTAATGAGAAGTGCCACTCGCATATTTAGAAAAATTCGGCAGCTCATGATGAGTGGATTGGAGTCTTGCATTCTGGTCGGATCTATCTAGTAACTTTGAACAGCTTTTATAGGTTAACACGGCCATTCGTGGATAATCTTTTTTTTTAAACCTCCAAAGTATAAATCTTTGCATAATACAAAAAACTCCTCATGAATGTCGAGCTTGTTCCAATATCACTGTATCGTAATGTATATTGCCATTATGCGTGCTTCAGTTGTCTCTCTAAGCAGGGTCTGTCAGTTTTTAAAAAAGAGGATTAAACCTAATACTCGTACATTGCTCTCTGTCATCTCCCATTCCATCCGAAAGGGGAGAGCTTTTGTCATGGGTGATTCGGTCGACGCTTTATGGGGGACAAGGATATGTAGTACGATTACAAAAAAGCTTGAACGTGTTTCGTCGGTCAAATACAGAAAATAGGTACAGAGAAATCTCTATAACTCGACATTTTTGAGGCCGTTATTTACGGTAGCGTCAAACAGCTTGACATCGCAGCGCCCCATTGCTCAAAAGTTCCGTTTCTATAAATATATCCACGACGGCTACAAATGGAGCGGTATGATCGATTTTAGAGAGACTGAAAATTCAGACACTGTAGTAGGCACCAACCTATTTGGCTCAATCTAGTAATAAGCATAGAGGCCCGCACGGGTACTACGTCTCTTGAAAAGTGACATTATGTCGATTTATTTATTTATATTGGTTTTTTGTGACATTATGTAGGTTTTTCTACAAGATGTTAGCTTAGCACTAGCTGATGGACATATTATGAACTCGTTTTGTAGTTGTGTGTGTTGCCTAAACGCCATGAGACTTCAGTTATCAATGGTTGGCTCTGATGTGATGTAAAATCTGCTTCAGAGATGGCATTATTGGAACTAACGGCAATGCATAGGTGCATAGTGAGGATTTGTGTGCTAATAATATGCGTTGATGATAATTCAATTGGATTCTTGCCTCAAATACACTTACTTGAGATTCAAAGCCAGAAATTAGTTGCGCATGCACTTTTTCTTATCCATTCTGGAAATTACATATGCAAATTTGCTGAATTTCAAAAATGAGAGAGATAAGAAATAATTATATTCACTGTACACTGTCGAATTACAAGTCATAGGGTAAAGAAGGGTAAAGCGTACCGCCGGGTAAATCGTACCATCACCGTTTTTGGAAGAATGATATACTATCCGTGACATTTCTTGGCAAAATTTTGGATTAGGATTAGCCCAAGTTATCCTTTGCAGTTCACTTCATACTGTCAGTCAGTTTGAGGTTAAATTAAAAGCAGTGTTGTTTATATTATTTTATGCTTCCGTTCATAAGCCTTTTTCTACATTTGGTAAGTAGATATTTTTAAGATATATTATTCACGTATTTTATGGACATATGTACAGTTAGTTGTTGCTGTAATATTGAATTGAAAAAGCGTTGATTTAAGCTAAAATTTAATAGAAAAAATAAAATTGTGCTTGTTTGGTACCACCCACGGCTTTGTTAATCGTATCGGTACGATTTACCCAACTGAGACTTTTTGCTCCAGTTTTCCACAAAGTTTTCGTTACAGGTTTTCATAAAAGCAGATGAGAAAAGTAACAAATAAGAAAAAACAAAACGGGAATACTGTCAATGGACCTCAGAAGATATGGATCATGCAAGTAATGCATACAAACAAAACCAGTGTGGTTTCAATGAGAGCTGCAGACGTTATAATTATTAAAAAGCCGACTTTTAGAAGGTACTTGCGCTCTTTAAATAAAAAGGCAAATGAAAATGTTAAGCCTTTGGGTCGGCACACAACCTTTTGTCCTGCAATTGAAATAGAATTGGCAAAATATATTTTAAAGCTGGAAGAAAGATTTTTTGGTGCAACAATTGGTGATTTTCGACGACTGGCTTTCCAAATAGCTGTTCGGAATGATATTCCACACCGTTTTGATATCAGCAAAGAAATGGCGGGAAAAGGATGGTATTATTCTTTCATGAACCGATATCCTGAACTGTCACTTAGACTACTAGAGAAAATATCCATGTCTACAGCAACTGGATTCAACAAAAAAAAAAACGTCCATGAGTTTTTCGACATTTTAGTAAAATGTGTTGGTGAAAACGGTTTTACGGGTCATACAATTTATAATCTTGATGAAAGTGGATTTTCAACTGTTCAGAAACGAAATCAAAAAATAATGGCACGTAAAGGAAAACACCAAGTTGGAGGTATAGCAAGTGATGAAAGGGGCGTAAACACTACAGTTGTCGTTTGAGCCAGTGCTGTCGGTCAAACTGTACCATCCATGATCATTTTTAAGAGAAAACGTATGGCCACAGAGCTGACCATACGGGTAATATCTGGCACTATTGTTACAATTTCAGATACTCATATATCAATAGCGAAGTTTTTGTTAAATGGTTACAGCACTTCATTGAGTACGTAAAACCAAGTAAAAAAAGTTTGGCTATTACTAGATGTCCCCCAACGCACTCGAAAAATCTGGAAGCACTCATTTTAGCCAAAAATCATCGAATTGTACTACTGAAACTTCCTGATCATACTACAATTCAGTTGCAGCCACTAGACGTAAGCTTTTTTAAACATATGGAATCCTATTTTGCACAAGGTGTGACTGGATTGCTCTCTGATGCCTATGCAAAAACAGCATCAATAATCGTGAATGGTTTCAAAAGATCTGGCCGGTTGACCGTACTGTATTTTCTGAGGCAGATTGTATCGCTGCCAGCATCTTGCTTGAAAATGATGCAGAAAAGGCAAGTGAGTATTCAGAGGCAGAAAATCCACGTGAAATGACTCTTGAGCCTGTAGACGTTGCTAATGAGCCATCAGTTAAAAGTAATAGTGATGAATAAAACAAAAATTGCAACACAGCAGATCTCAATACCTCTATCGAAGAAATTTACCTTCTACCCGAGAATAAGGACGAATTAGAGAACAAACATAATAAAAGGCAGAAATTAACAAGTAAAAAAATCTTGGGCTTTCTTCTACTTCCATTTTTGAAACACGTGACGATCAATCTTCCACTTCAAAATCTGCTGAAGTAAATGCCCAAATTGAATATGATACTACTGATTGCTGCTGCTTTATATATGAACAGAACATTATTGAGGATATGGTGAGATGAACTAAATGTAAAAAATATGTGTGTGAGAACTGTAAATAAAAAGTTAGTGGTACGATTTAAAAACCGAAGTTACGATTACACCAACCTGTTCGCTTAATCGTACCATTTGCAAACCCTTTTATTTTTGTATTTTTTTATTTAAGATGTTGATTGATTTGGTCAAATTTTTGATTAATAGGAAGATAAATGTTTATTTTTGCTTGTGTATTAATATTATTAATAAATAGTTTAATTTCTGAGTACAGTGGTCAAAAATTTAAAAATCGGTACGATTCACCCTACTTTACCCTATACATGGTAACATTAATTACACACAACGCGGGCGCGGTGGTGATTTCCCGTAATTTTCCTCAAAGTTTTTAAAAACACAAAAAAACGTAAAAAATCATAGTTTATAACTTTGAACATAACCTGTCTTCAGAAAGGACAACATATAAATAACCCGTCAGGCACAGCTAATAGATATACTTCATTGGCAGCACGTTCAGTAATGACTTTCTCACACAGAAAATATCGATCTTATACACATGCCGAGATGAAAACTATGGACTACTCGGCTTCACAATAAATGCACGTAACAGTGCGTGTAGTTGAGCCGTTCTTCAATAGATAGACGCTCGCAACGATCATAGTGAGCACACATGGAATGACTGTTTGCACCCTGAAAACTACCTGGTCTGCAAGACAACATTTTATAGGTTTTTTTTTCGTTTTATGAGATTTTTACATAATATCTGGTCCCGAATAAAATTCGCATTTTTTAATTAAAACTGCGTAACGCGGGCGGAAACGCTGAATGGAGGCATCATTCGGTAGCGTGGTTCATGCATTTTTAGTAGCCAAGGGTCAACAGCGCGCGTTCGTGGTGCAAGCGTCCTTTGAGAGTCCTTATGACACTGTGCCACATTAATTCGGAATCAAATATGGATTGCGGCATATAGATCAGTGCCCTAGTACTAGTTAATTAAAGCAAGGTTTCAAAAAACGGCTCGATATTGTCATCAAGGTCGCGCACGGGCTGTCAGAATGGATCAAAGGATAGAGAACTGAGTGAATTACAAGAATTAAAGGAAACGGACGTCACAGAAATATCAGAATTTTCATCATTAATGCTGGAGCGGTTCTGTTAATTTTCATTTCAACGATTTTGAGAATAAGGAAAACTGTTAATACTGGAGTACGAAGCAGCCGTCGCTAAAATACCAGTAACCAGTTCATTGCCAAATAGTCACAATTTGGGCAGCAATATCAGCTAGCGGTTTGATTTTTTAGAACGACGGTGGTCAATTCAGAACGTTATGTCCGAGTTATTGGCCCCGGAGCTTCAAGAATTTGAAGGACACAATAACATGACGTCGTTTCAACAGAACAGCGAGACCTGTCGGTCTTCCAACATAAGCATGGGGTCATACGCGAAATGTTCCATAGAGCCTGACTTCTCCCCCCTTGATTACTTTTTATGAGGATATCACAAGAGCAGAGTCTTCATTAATAACCCAAAACCGTCAATGAATTGAAGGAAAATATTCGTCAATTTCAAAAGCAAATTTCAGGCGAGTATTCGCCAATTTGGGGTTTCGTTTGGAAGACGTTTCTCCGCAATTTAGAGGCCATCTCGATGCTGTCACTTTTGAAAATTAATAATTAATGTCCTTTTATGTTGCAAAACTTAGTAAGCTGTTTTTATTTGCAATGTTTTCGAAGATAAATTTTATTATGGCCCACCATGTACTATAGAAAGGGTCGCGTTCAGAAGTCCTACGAGGGATGGTTAATTTTGATAATACTACTACGTGTCTACGTACTAAAAAATACTTACCATTTTAAACAATAGCATGCAGAAATTAAGACTATACACGGCGTAAACCATATAGTTAATTGGCGAGGCTCTTTTAGCCTGTGATTATGCATTTGATTCAATCAAAAGCTTCAGCTCAGTAACATCAATATCAGTGATCGATATATTAGCATCGTATGCCACTGTCAGCACGGCACCTCTTGAATACGGCGAGATACGTGCCAGCAGCGGCGTGCGATGTGTTTTGCTGCAACCTTACTTTTCGGTAACAGAGTATAGAGGTATATTCTCATGAACGTAAGTAAAAGTAGGTATGAATCACTAGATCATAGGAAAAAAAATGGCGTCGAGATTGTTTACTCTGTAGTTCCCAGGCTACGCTGTTATCAGTTCGCAAAATATTATGTTTGGCACAAGTTAGCCTTCTGAGAAAAAAGTTAGCTACGAAATTGTATAACAAAAACTTAAATGACCTTCCTCCTCTCCCTGAGAGGAATTGCTGCAGGCACACATGATCGCTGTGATGACCACTCCCGCGTGAATGCCGATATTGGCTTTCACCATGCACAGAGCACACAGCTCATAGCAGTGCAGAAAGGATTTCCGACTGTAACATACGACCACCGACAACAACGCTTGTTCATCGGGGAGATAAGCTTTAAGGGTAAATGTACGGGGACATCTATGATGAAAGAAGTATGCCTAATACTGGAGCTGAAGACATATAACAGTACCAACGACAAAAAATTGAGATATACCCTTCCCCACCCCCTGCAACTTCTAAACAGCAATGTTTAAGCCCTACAAAAATGTTTCCCAAAATGATCAGGATCGTCTAAAATGTCAAAGAACGAAGTTTGTGCGACTTTTATTTTACTTTTTTTTCTTTTTCTCGGCCGCCACTGGGCCTATTTTCAAAAACAACAAATCATGCAATTGTACCCTTGGCATAGTAGTAACGCTGCGTAAAAATTTCATCTATATCCGAGCGGTACTTCTCAAGTTATAGGCGGTTATAGGATTAGCGGACAGATCGACCGATAGACAGAGACAAATACAGACAGACAGACCGTCGGAAATAAGTGACGTGGTTTCTTATGATGTATATGTCATATAACATCAAAAAAACATAACATCTCATTTGAGAACATTTTCGCGATTACAAGAACAAGTAAAAGTGATATCAATATGTATCTCCTAAGATAACTTGAAAAATATAAAGGCTAAAGTTAATATGCAGTAAATGGAAAATAATCTCTATAAAACTAACTACAACTTTGTATATAATGGTCTTTAGCGAGAAGTTAATAGCTTAGAAGATAATCGCTTCACAATTTGGCCGCTATCTGCCTTGCCGGTGCATCATGTCATTTGGATGCATACAGGTAAAATTGGTGCCATTCACCAGTCAAATCATAATAATATTATGAAAATGATGTACTATGTCTCAGAAATGCTAGTTAGGGATGTCTGATTGCTCTTTATCAAAGTTTGATCAACAAGCGGGAATAAGTCCGCAATGCTAGTGTCCGAATCAGTTGGTAGCATTAAGAGAAGCAACTACTGATAAATTGGTTGCTAACAATTAACAGTGCTAAACGGCTTAGAAACTACAAAAGTAAGATTTAGTCAGATAGACTCGAAGGTACTTGAGAAAATGCAAAACAAAGATTTTGCCGGATGCAGTGCTACAGTTCTTTTGATAAGAAAAATAAGTACCTCACCGTGTAAATGCGACCGAATCTTCCACTAAGTGTTTTTTCTAAACCTAATTTCTGGCTTTAAGAAGTGAATTATATCTGACTGCCAGTCTGTGAACACGCTTGTTTGACTCATTTCTCACATTAGAGGATACCAGTTTATAAACTGATCACAATGTTTCAACGTTATTGGGTCAATAGTTGTGAAGATCAATATCTATCAATACCATTGCATCCGTAATTGACTCCTCCTTATTTGAGAAACAAATATTTCAATTCCACGGAATGGACTTTTCAAGTCCTCGAAGATGCGTTTGAGGTTTGTGAACTGTTAGCACAATGATAAGATCAAAATACATTTCTGAATTTGAATTTGACTACTATTATGATAAATTTGCTGTTCTAACAGATTAACTTTATAGCGGACAGCTACCTCTGTTTAATCTCTCGAAATTGCTAGACACTGTGTTATTTGATTCAGCTTTCCCAAACGTCGGCGTCGTAACGAATTTTAATGGGCAAGCACATATTTCCAGGACAACTTCCTGCAGCGTTATACTCTGTCAATCTGATTGATGATCATCGGATGCCTTTGGCAAACATTTGTATATGTGATTATCCAATTCGGTGACTGCACTATCGCAGACAACTGCAACATCGCTTTACTATCGTTTAACAGTAAAGCTTTATTTTTGTTGTCCCCTAAGGTTCTTGAAGTGGACGTAAAAACATGTTTTCACTTCCCAGATGTATACACAAAAGACGCACGTTAGTGTATTCGAGTTTATTGTAAGTTGTATCACTAAATTACTTTGTTCGTATAGCAGTCCATTATCCGGTCCGACACGAATTCCATTCAGTTTGCTATGCTATGTAAGCGGGATTCACACGACCAGATCCCAGACACAGTCACCGACAGGCCACCGAACAGTGTATGAACAAACCATGTACTGATATTGCATTTTCTTCTAGTCTATGTGACCGAACCACGGAGTAATCAATTCCAATCAATCAATACGTACAATAATTGCGATAGCAGCATTGTGAACTTGTTCCCGCTAATCAATGTAGTTCTGCTAGAGTTCAGCAATGGTGAGCTTATCCTCACTAGAAGTGCCAACTGGATATCCTAATTGATATTTTTTAGCCAAATTATACAACACGTAATTTATATTTGCGGCGAAACGTTATAGGCTCGTTATTATTTGACTGAACGGATATTTATTGCAGCCGACTTACCGATTACCGGTTACCTGCGGCGAAGTGCCACGGTGCACCGGCGAGTTGGATGAGGGTCGGCATGTCTTCATGATACAGTGATTCTATTATCTTCTAAGCCATTCATTTTTCGCTAAAGAACATGAAGTTGTGAATAATTTTATATAGATTATTTTTCATCGTGTGCATATTCACTCTAGCGTTTATATATTCTCAGTTGTCTTAGAGAATCCGGCGCAATTTTTTTCTACGAAAGCGGCCGCCATCTTGTTTTGCCAGCAGAGTTATCGTGACTCCAATCAAAATCATTCCCAGCCATCATAAGGGATACCAGTATGTGGCCAAGCTTTATCTCAACTTGTATCTCCCAATTTTTTAGATACCTATCACAGTGTCTATCCTTGAAAGTAAAATTTCATATGGGAATACTTGCTATAGATTTGCATATTAAAAAAAAGATAAATCAATTCCGCACTACCTATAGGTGAGGATAACTTCTCTAGACATTTCTTCTATTCATCTCAATTTTGCCTCAATTCGCTTGGTCTACTGTAAATATTTGAAAATACGAAAGGTAAATTCAATATATTCAGTCTACATGGAGCTAATTGAATACCTGGTCGAAGTTCAAGGGTAATTCTGAGAAAAAACGCTTCGTTATCAAGATTAACCGGGTCTGTTGGAGTTAAGCAGGTGCATACATGTCGCCGAAAATATTACTAAAATTATCTAATAAGAATAATTTATTGACTTGACACCACAAATTGTCATGGTCGTATAGATCGCTAAACTTCCATCCTTGAAATATTTTCTTTATTTAGAAAGTCAGTCCTCTTATCTATAAAAATGTAGGTTATGCCATGTTAGTAAATGTCTTCTGGCATGTGGATCTTAGTTATGTATATGGACCATATTATGCAAATTTCGAAAGAACCGGCCTGGAATTTACTGAGCTCATGTTGTAGTAAGTACACAAACAGATAAACATACAGACTAACCCAGAGACTGCTGAAAATAAGTGACTTCGGTTTTTATTGACCAGTCATCATAAAACGTAAGAAGGTAGAACCTCAAGTTCAAAATTCTTGTGGCCAGAATTTTCCTCGCGAAAAAGGTTGTATACGTTTGCAAATCATTCTGAATAAAAGCAATGAAACCAAATCAACAGACTCAGCATGGAAATTTTTGTGTTACTTTAGCTACCTTTCCTGACAACACTGGGACCAGTGATTCAAGACAGTGCCTGAAAGAAACATCACCAGGGTCAATTTCATTCGATGTATCTGTCACAGGTAAAGTGATTTATAGTTATCATCGGTCCTCCGGGAAATATAAAAAGCGAAAGTTCCTTAAATGAATAAGGCGTGTGGTTGTGCACAATGTCAGCTTGAATTACAAAAGTTTCTTCTATATTATTTTTTCTATTAAAGTCTTACACACTACAGTTATTAGTAGAAGAACAAAAGGAAAATGGACCAAATGTAATAAACAAAATTGGCAAAAACTACATCTTGTAAGACAGAACCTCTACCTGATACGCAAGAAGGTTTTCACTTCACCAAATATATCTTATTTTGTTTTTGAGGCAATAGGCGCTTGGGCAAATTTCTTGTTTGGTATCGTATTTTCAAAGATATGTTTTCCTTTATGTTTCAGTAATTCCTTAACACATCTTATTTTGGTAAAAGACTTTTATTTCCCTAAAACCAGTTTTACAACGCTTTTCAATTAAGTAAAACGGCCAGTTTTGTACATTCTTATTATGAACTCCTTCAGCCCACAGGAAACATTCGTACAAGATTTATACAGTCTACAAGATAGTTATATGCACTACTAATAAGTATTTTATTCTTCCATCAATATATGCTATAGCCAAATTGCGTTACAGGAAACCACCTGGACATACCTCGTACAAACGACCCTAATTTGTTGAGTCCAGAAACAATTCAAAATCAAAGGAGAAACTCAAGAAGACCCAGCATTCTTCCAGTACCAGACATGTACACGGGAAGCACCCTCAATCTGCCCCAGGTAAAATTAGCGTCAGGTTACACTTTCTAGCGCATGAGAGAAACTGAATATTCGAAAAATGTTTTGGTGAATTTGTCCCTTTACTGAAACCAAGTAACGCGTGTAATGTCGTCCAAATCCACACCCCACCGGGCTATTGTGTGGTAAAATGTGTAAACTGCTTTTTTCCCGGCTAAAATAAATTAGTATTTTTTAGATATGTATAAACACGTAGGATGAAAATGTGCATGTGTCTACTTTGTCACTGCGATGTTACTTTTGTTAAGCATTGTATTTTAAGAAGGTTGTTTGGAAATTGTGGACAAAAGTAGGTATTTTCAAGGAAACTCCTACTTCGTCTTCTACCATTTTGTTGAAAGATGAAAAACTCTTAAAAGCGTGATTCGTTGCGTAATTCGAGAAGATCGCCCTCTGTCCTCAAAGTTGGATTGCCCATACACTATTACAGCGTATTGATACATGTAATAAAAAAATATGAATATCTATAAAAAACAACATGGATATCCAGATCAGTAGTTCAATATCTTGTAAAACCCTAGAAAAATTTTAAATGTATTTCCATAGAAACCTTGCACGACAATCCTTAACATATTTTTGAAAAAATTAGTCTGTAACACAATATTTCATCCACTAAACGTTGGAGGTTGGGCCACCCTGTACGTGTGATAAAATTGCAATGATCTTGAAGCGGCCGGTAGGAATGATGATAAGAGCATAAATAGATATAAAACTATGATTACCGTGCTGTAATATGGTACGGACTGCTGAACTTTGAGAAGTACTTGTAGAAAAACTTTTGAGCTGCATTTGTGGAGATTTAAAAAAAAATAGCCGAAAGCCATTCCACCTGATGTTTCTGCGGGGTATTATATCCCATAATATGCTGAGAGTCATGTGCCGGTTCATGTGCCAGAAAGGGGGAGGAGTAAAAAGACCTAGCTTCTGGTATGAGCCCGGATCGATAACAATAAATCAAATATGTGTAAGGTATTTTCATGTTAAGTAAGAAATAGTATGGTAATTCTTGCATACTTGGCCCGTCTTACAGAGTACCCGGTTTTTCCGCGTAGTGAATTACTCGGCCGGAACACAAAACACACAACATCTGTATATCAAAGAATTGCAGATATGATGTACACAATGTGAGCTGATATATTTTGCAAACCTTCCTAATATGTATGTTCTCCAAGACATTGAAAATTAGCCAATGCTATAGTATATTTTTGCCGGAATCAGTTGCCTGGTTTGGATGATTTTTTAGTGAATACATAAATATATACCAGTAAGCTAGTGTATATACGGTATTGGCCTAACCTACCTATTTTTTCAATACTTTTGTGGAGACAGCTGCTGTTGCAGTTAAACTGAAACCACATTGTAGTATTACCTTTTGCCTTTTATGTTGCTCTTTCACACAAAAAACCTTAAAACAAAATAACAAGGTTCTGCAAAGGTAACGTGAAGGACGAGTATTCTGAGTTTCTCCAAATAAAACCTTTACTCAAACATGAGGATAATTTAGGTCTAGTTCTTCCCATATCTGAATTGGTTCCGCCACGACATCTAGCAGCTAAAATTTGGATTCTTTTGTTACCGTGTCCCAAGGCAGCGCAAAAACTTATATGATTTAAATTCATTATTCATGATGGCCATGACGTGGCAACGATCCTATTAGGTAATATTTAGAAATTTGAGCTGCTTGGAGTCTTGCATTGTCAACAGAAACGTAGGTGTAAGAGTATACAGGGTGTCATAAAAGTCATGAAGCAAACGAAAGGGGGTGATAAGAGGTGCCATTTGCAACCCAAAAAATCCTGCTTCTATCCAATTGAGCACTGTTTTTAGTTATCAGCATTTTTGAGAATTTGTGGAAAATCGCTACTTTTGAGACTACTATTTTTTGTTTTGTTTAGTTTTGTTATTTTTGAATCACATTTTTGGGATATGTACCCAAATGTTGTGCCGCTCGAAAAAAAAAACAGTGAGTGTTAATTTATTCCAGTTAATGAAGGCACAGCAATAGGCTAATCTGCAATTTTGTCTCTCGTCAAAAATACTACAGCATATTCAACGAGGCCTGTAGTAGGTGAATAAAGTGTCCATCGTGATGGAAAAATTATCGATACTATGGTCTTTCAGAATATCTATTAGATCAGTGGTTTCCAACTTTTTCAGTGTGTTGAGCTACTTTGATATTCTTGGAATAAACAGTGAGCTACCTAGTCGTAAGCAATGTAAGCCAACTTAAATGAAATTATACACAGTTGTATGCGACATATATGTGTTTATTTAACTAATACTAATGCATATTAATAAACTAAAATAAACTAATACATACTACATAACTACATCCATTCCTATCAATCGTAGGTGTTTGAAAATTAAACAAAATTTATCGTCAGATACAATGACATGTCACATACGATTGTTTTTAAAAACATTGTCGGTTGTCCAATTAACTGATTTTTTCATTGTTTCAGTTTTTCCTTCTGGTTGCGGAACGTAATGGGAATGATTTTTAAAATTCGAATGTACAGTTTTATAGTACCTCTTGATATTCCCTTTTTTAACAAGGGAGACAGATGTATTACAGAACAAACATACATTTTTACCTTTAACTTCTGTAAAGAAATATTGTTCTTCCCATTCCGAATGGAAATGGTATGTCTTCATCTTATTGCTACTGCTCACAATGTCCTTAATTGCAGGCCAATCCTAACCCAACCGCTGGACGTTGTGCCGTTCAGTATTAAACTAAGGGCACTGTCGCCTTGCGTATTTATTCCGTTCAAAGTAATCGAGATCGTTCTCGAACAGATCGCTCACCCCAGTGTTGCCGCTGCTTGTGTTTATTATGAGAATTTACAGAAGCTTCTATGATTTTTACACCTTTTTGAAATAACATGTTGTGAGCCACCAAATTTGCCTTTGCGAGCTACCAGTAGCTAGCGATCGACGAGTTGGCGACCACTGTAATAGATAATCAAATATCCTGAATAGTTTCTACGCAAAGTAGATAAAATGCTCCTGGAAGAAGGGCATGCACACGTTGAAAGTGCAGCCGCTCTCTGTGTAGAATTCGGTGTACTGTCGACCTACAACAGCATTCCACGAAGCATGGAGTATGCTGCTAGAAGGCTCATTTTCAGTTAACTGTAGTACCACCTCTTCAGCATCTACGCTGATCCTCTTCTTCCTGTATTTACATTCATTTCTCCTGCTACATGACACTATGTTTTATATATACTATATAATTTGGTTTTGATATCCTTGGACAGCACCTCAGGTATTTCCATTGCACAATCTATAAATGAAATGCATTTCTGTATATTCCTGTGACGAGTACGGCATCGTGCTTCGAGTCAGATAAGTGGAGTACGACATTATCCACGCATCACTTTTATAGTAAGGATGATTGTTTATATCAGCTACCAGTTTTTATTAGCCTATTGGTCAAGTACTATGGCGGCATTTCCATAACCGTTCTACTGCCCAAAATCAGTTCACAGCCGTCCTCCTGCACATTGATAAGACCTGACATTTCTTTAAATTTGAGGATTTGTTGTCCCTCAATAGTTTCCTTTTATACTCAGAAGGTAAAACATCAACAATGACAGATACAAGGTTAAGTTTAAAAAATGGGAATTTCGGGATTTTGTCACCTCTGCGCAAAAACTATTTAGGATATTTGACTATCTATAGGTCTTATGAAAGGCCACAGTATCGAGAAGTTTTCGATTACATGGACACGTTATCCGCCCACTAATTTTTTGTACAGGCCTCGTTGAGTATGCTGTGATATTTTTGACAACAGACAAAATTGTAGATTAGCCGATTGTTGTACCTACATTAACTGGAATAAATTATCACTCACTGTTTGTTTCGAGGGGCACATCATTTGGGAACATATCCTGTAAATCTGTTTGAAAAATAACAAAGGATAACTTAGAAAAAATGATACAGTCTCAAAAGTAGCGATTTTCTGCAAATTCCCAAAAATGGCGATAATTCAAAAACAGTGCACAATTAGATAGAAACAGGGTTTTTTGATTGCACATGAGCCCTCTTATCACTCCCTTTCGTTTGCTCCATGACTTTTTGGACACCCTGTATAGATTTTCAATATCTCACAAATGCTCAATAGGAAGGGTTTAAACTATATCAAAAACAAATGTTCCAAAAATGTAATCTTAACATACAATATTGTAGTACACGTTTTTCTCTGTAGAATACCGTACCTTCGACGCTTTTCTCACAAGAAAATGTCTAAGCCGCACAACTGTTTTCTTGTGATGCGTTAAATATGCAAATACTGGAAACCAAGTTTGTCGGACGGCCTGAGTTCAAGGTGTACGAGAGAGAAGTGTGTATAGACACATATGTTATAAAAAGATAGAAGCAGGCTGGATAGCAGGGCACATCACCGCACTGCCTAGCAACGCTGACGCGGAAATCTCCCTCGTTGCCAATATGTTACATCAGTTCCTTGAATTAAAATGCATGTTGAAAATGTGCCTAAGTTAATTCTCTACGCGAAAATAATGATTTTATTTTTAGCGTTCTCTGTTTAGGGCCGATTTTATTAATACACCAACCTGCATACATAATTCGTTATAGCATAATACTCACTTATACATGAATAAATTGATTGAAAAAACTGGAACTATGAAGGACAAAAATATATAGACAAAGCAAAATAATTATAGAAAAAATAATCAAAGTTCATTGAATTATAGAAAACCAACCATGTCTGCGTTAATATTTTGTAGCACAACCATTATTATCAATCACCGCCTGGCATCGTCTCAGCATAGATTGTAGAAGTTTCTTGATATAAGCTTCATCAATCTGTCTCCACTTTTGCTCTAAAGCGGCAAAAAGTTCATCCTTGTTTAAATAATTTGTATCTCGTATTTGCTTATCTAAGTATTCCCATAGATTTTCAATGGGGTTTATATAAGGCCATTTGAGAACTGGTATTTTTTTCATCCAGAAAGAATTTCTTTGCGAGATTTGAAGTGTGCTTCGGGTCATTATCTAGCTGGAAGATTGATCTTAAGGGCATATTGTCTTCCATATAGGGTAACTTGACATGCTTTAGTATGTTTGTGTATACAAACTTATCCATAATGCCATCTATTCTATGTAAAGGTCCCATCCCCAACCCCGGAAAGCACCCCCAAACCATAACAGACCCGCCTCCATGTTTGACAGTGGACAAAGTGTACTTGGGGTTCAATTTTTGTCCACTAGGACGTCTAACGTAATGATCCATCTGATCCAAACATATTAAACTTGGATTCGTCACTGAAACATACCCTCTTCCAGTCACAGATGCTCCAATCAAGATGCAACCGTGCAAATTGTAATCGGTCCTTACGGTTTTTTCTCGAGATTAGCGGCTTCTTACTCGGGCGACGTGCTAATAACTTCAAATCATCTAATCTTCTACTTATAGTTTTCGTCGAAACACTGACAATTCCTTTTGTCTCGATTTCGGCTTTTATTTGTCTTGGAGTTTTACACGGATCTTTGGACGAAATTACTTTTATTAATCTAACTGATCTAGCATTTAGTTTTCTAGGCCGACCGGTTCTCTTAGAGGCTTCCAAGATACCTTTTTGTTTATATTTGTTCAATATTGCCCAAACTGCTTTACGCATCAGCTTCAAATTTTTGGCAATGTCGTCTTGACGTTGACCATCTTTGTATAACTCAATGATCTTAGTTTTCACATCGAAAGAAATTTCTGGACCACGCGGCATGGTCTTAAAATCACTCAACTTATTCCACAATACTTGACGAACACAAACTAATCCTCTTCTGACACGAAACTGTACTAAACTAATGTTGAAAAGAATTTGTCTATATATTTTTGTCCTTCATAGTTCCAGTTTTTTCAATTAATTTTTCATTGAAGGAACTCTAATGAATTTATTTATGTATAAGTGAGTATTATGCTATAACGAATTATGTATACAGGTTGGTGTATTAATAAAACCAGTTAAAAAAGGAATACAGCACAATATCAATTTGTCTATATACTTTTGTCCATTACTGTATATACTCTAATCGTATTAGCAAATTTTCCCGAAATAGTTGTATAGTTGTTCAAGGGGGTATTTTAAACATGGACGCATAAAATGGGTACACCAATTTTTGTGGGAATATTTTTTATTTGACAACAAAGAATGAGAAAATGTGTTTTTTGGGATTCAATCGAAAGTATTGACAGGAACAAAAAACTTCCCATATAAGAGTTTTAGGTATTTATAAGACATACAAAATGAAACCACACGTAAGATCCGACTAATAGCAAAAATGTTATGGCCGAAAAACGAGGCAAAATGCAGGTTTTGCCACTTTTTGGTAATTTCTTCAGATTCGTAGGATTCATACTTCTAAATAACAACAGCAAAATTGGAGTATATTGGCAAGTAGTTTTTTGAGTTTTTCTAATTGCTTATCCCAAGACATCTGTTTTCCGGCAATCACTACTAAATGAGCAATATACAGGGTTAGTTAAAGGAGCATTTAATAGCAAAATACACGTGTTTACCTTGCCGATATGGATCACGAACCATTCCGAAAGATAAATGTTATTTTTATGCGTAGAACAAAGGTTAGGTTTTTTCTTCTAAGCAAATTCAAACATTTCGTATTTGTGAGTAACTGAACAAATGCGCTACGATATTCGAAATACACACGTTACTATACACATTTTGAAACAAAACGGATCACCTTTTGTTGCGAATTACTCACGAATACGAAATGTTTGAATTTATTTAGAAGAAAAAACGTAACCCATCCTTTTTTGCCTAAAAATAACATTTATCCTCCGGAATGGTTTGCGATTCATTTCGGCAAGGTAAACTAGTGTATTTTGCTATAAAATACCCTTTGAACTAATCCTGTATATTGCCCAATAAACTAGTAGTGATGACCGGACATCAGGTGTTTTGGGATAAATAATTAGAAATTCTCAAAAAAACTACTTGACCAATCTACCCCAATTTTGTTGTGGTTATTTAGGAGTACAAATCCTACGAATTTGGAGAATCTCAAATACTTGCGAAAAACCATCGTCGCATTACCAACAAATGCCAAAACCTGCAGTTTGCCTCGGTTTTCGGCCATAAGTTTTTTGCTATTGTTCGGATATTTTAACGTGTGGTCTCATTCTGAAGGTCTCATAAATATCTAAAAATCTTATGAAGAGTTTGTTCGTTCCTGCCAATACTTCCGATTGAATCCCAAAAAACACGTTTTCTCATTCTTTGTTATCGAATAAAATAAAAAGTTTTCCCACAAAAATTGGTGTACCTATCCATTTTATGCGTCCATGTTTTGAATATCCTCTTGAACAACTTGCAGCAATAAAACCAGACTTTACAATTATTTCACGAACCAGGGGTATTTTCACCTAATATGATTAGACTAATAGTGCTTCGCTGCAACACCAACCCCGAACGTAATCAGTCAAGCTTCACACACTTTCAAATTACTATTGAGCAACAAACATAGCATAAATCACTTTTTAAGTGCAATCTAACATACTGCTGAGACTTAGATTTGTCTCAAGTCACAATACTCGAATATACGTATAAATCGTAAGAATTGTGCTGTAATCGTAAGTGATGTCGAAGGGGGACAGCTTTTGGAATACCAAAGGATACCAAAAAATTCCAATGTTCAGTTCGTACAGCTATAACTTATGGTTAGTATGCCTCTGTCGCCATGATGTGTCAGAAAGCAACAAAATGGTGGTAGATTACAAAAGCAAGTGTCAGACGTGTAGGGGAGGGGGGGGGGTCTCTCTGAATTTGCCACTGGTGATAACCTTCGCTCTTCAGCCGGCTTCTAATTCTTTCTAGCATGTGTTGATTGATACACACTTCTCGCGCTTCTCTCTCGTACACATTGAACTCAAGTCATCAGACAAATTTGGTTTTCACTGTATATCCTTAATATAGCTAACAGCAGTTGAAGTAACTCAGAACAGATCACTCCACCGAGTACCCAGCTGAGTGCCCGGTACTTGGTAGTACTACTAAACCAATACCTAGTGCATCTCTAGTAATTAGGTTTTCTATAGTCGTAGTCACCGATCTTGGCGTTTACGTCATCAACGCCATATGAAATAAGTAAACAGATCGAGTCTCCGTACCATGGACGGAACACTGCGCAGACTTATCTTCAGCGCATCTGCTACTCTCTAGTACACCTGAAGTGAGTAACAGGGGACCGCGGTTTTCATTCTTTTCCTGGAAGTACTCTAATGAACTCAGCACGAGCTGTCGGCCTTCTCCCTTGATCGTGTTTCCGGGCATTGTACAGTTATATATTGAAGATTGATAACAGGACAACTAAAATTGCACGCCGATGTGAAGTTGCCACTCTGACAATTATGTTTGAAGGGCACTCATACGTAACGACAAAGTTAACGCACAACTTGAAAACGTATGTCGGTAGACTTACTTTAACCCGCCAAGAACGGTGACTACAACTATACTTGATCAAACGTAAGTTTTTTTATAACGTAATAATATCTCTGACTTCGGAAACATTCTGTTTGTTCGCATGGGATGGGGGTAGAACACAATTAAACCGAAAAATGCACTGAAGAAAATACAAATTAATAATATTTGGCCGATTCTCTTGTAATATGCCGTAACAAAATGGAATACTGATATTCTGAATACTCAATTTCACCTAACCCTGCTTCGTATACTGATAGGGGCCAGGCACATGTGGCTCCGTATTTTGACAGAATGGAAACTTACTTTTAGTTGACATGAGATATATCGTTTTGTTATACTTAGGATCCGAGTGACGAGGCAGATGAGAGTGAAGACGAATTAGAAGATGACGTACCATGGAGATCCCCCAGTGAAAAAATAGCGTGAGTTTCTTTATACTTGTTACATAATGATTAAGTTTCATGTGTGATGTGAGCTACTATCCTGTGTGTCTGAATGTAAAGTACTGTGGTTCATAGAAGTCTGTTCTCAATTCTACAAAAAAGCGAACAGAATTGATTTCAGTGAGGAATATATCTGAAAATGGAAGACTCTTGAAATATGCTTCTTGGAGGCGCAGCAAAAGTAATTTTTGGCCTCAAATGAGGATGATAGTGAAATATAAAAGCATGCATAAATTACGCACGGCCTTCCTAGAGCTGTTGAAAAAATAGACAGAGAGCATAAGAAACAGATTTTGGATTCGTTTAAGTTTATTACCAGTTAGGTTGCACTGAGTGCCTAAGTTTTCAAGTACCATGACATGCGCTTCACTGCTATCCAAATTCTATCAATATTTCATACATGGTTTCAGCTATCCAAATTCTAGTCATGACTTTGAAAACGTTTTGATTTCGACCTAATCACGAGAGCTCCAAAAATTAGAAAAAGTATAAATTAGCTTTGGGTGAAGGGGATGAAAGGTCAAATCGTTTCTAAACGACTCTTAAGATGAAAATAACGAAACTGTCCGTTTCTTGCAAAACTATGCCCATTGAACATTTTTATTCCTATCGACACCAACTGGCTAGGCAATATAAATTTGCTTAGTGGTATCCTTAGATTATTGCCTCCTAATGATAACTTCCGATTTATGCCTTGACATGGCAGGAGCATTTGCCGTCATTTTGAAAAACTTGTTTGATCCAAAATCCCTAAAACCATCAATCCTATGTAAAAAATGTAATAGAAACAACTAAGTAGAGAATTAAATCATTTTGTTCCTATGAAAATTTGTTAGATGCGATGCTATGCCTGATATGCACTTTTAATTTCTTCAGATCCCTGAATACAGGTATATAGTGTCCTTTTTTTACTTTTGCTCCTTAAACGTTGGCAACTTCAAAAGGGACATTGTTTAGCACCTATACAGGGTGTTCGAAAAATAAATGGAGATATTTTAGAGGGTGATTCCTTGTTAAAAAATATGGAAAAAAGTTTGTATAAACATGGGTCCGGAAATGCGGAGTTTTCAAGGTACAGGGTGGTAAATTTAAAAAAATATATTTTTCTATTATCGTCTTAAAAAAGATTTACTCGATTCTGTTAAAATTCGGCAATATTATTTATTGTATTAAGATCTGGCTCTAAGTAGATTAAAATTATAAGGGCCAGTGGCGTCCCAGGGAGCAAATTAGCGAATATTCTTGGCAAAAATGTACGCCACTGCTTTTTTGTAAGTTGATTATTTGGTTTTTGAGTAAAATTACAACTTCTTTGCTTCCTGTATTTTTTTCGTATCTCACTTTGTTTTCGAGGATCACCCTGTATCTTAATAATAATAGTAATAATAATAATAATAATAATAATAATAATGTTTATTTCCAACAGGCAGATACACCCAATTACAGGAAATATCAATAAATATCAATTAAGCACAGTAAACAGAACATAAACTTTAATGCTCTTAGTTGAATAGATTCCAATCTGCTAATCTCTTGGAAACCTTTGAATACCTCGCCATCAAGATCGACTTTCTGAACACTAATCACCCGGCTATAGAGGTAGTTCTACTCGGTGATTTCAATGCCCATAATGAGCTTTGGTTGGGCTCAAATAAGACCGATGCAGCAGGTCGTGCAGTTGAAGCGTTCGCTCTTACCCAAGGGCTGAGTCAGCTGGTGATGAGCCCTACTTTCTTACCCCGCGTCTCGTCACATGTCAGTAGCCTGCTAGATCTCCTTCTCACCACTCGTCCCGACCCTTACATCACTGCTGTCCTGTTCCCCCTGGGTAAACCACGGTGTCGTGGAGGTTAGGTTTCGGTCAGAACCCGCTGTGGCACCTTAAACTCGCACAGGGCGCAAAATTTGACACTGTAAGCGGCTTAAAGACTTCTTTTCTATATTTCCTTGGAGAGATGTCTGTTTCACTAACGCGGATGCGTCGACTGTCTGTTCTTCGATAACCGAAATTATTCACGTCGGAATGGAGGAATTCATCCCTCACACAGTGAAAGATCAAGGCACATAGAACCGTCTTACAAAACGCCACTGTAGAGAACAGACAAGCCGAAGTCGAGTCCAGAAACAAATATAACGAAGCGGTTCGCAATGCCAGCCACCAGCACTATATAAAAGTTGGTTTAACTAACCGTTTGACACTGCTCGCCAGCAGAAGATCAATGCACGCAGAATCATGCCATCAATGTCATTATTGTATCCGACTCAAAGACCAAGGCGGAAGTGCTTGCCAAGATCTTTGCTGCCAGTTCCACCTTGGACGTCCCTCCCAACGCCAAAGTGCCGCCAATTCAAAGGGAGGTAACATTCAGGCATAAGAGCGTAAGACGAGTGCTCTTGCCGCTCGACATTAAAACAAAGCTCTGGTCCAGACATGATTCCTGCCATTGTACTGAAGAGGTGTGCAGCGGAGCTTGCTCAAGTTCTTTCGCGTCTCTTCCAGATCTCTTATAAATCCGGCGCCTTCCCAGAAAACTGGAAATTTGCTCATGCCTAACCCATCCCAAAAAAGGAACTAATACCGACCCTTACAGCTACAGGCCTATAGCCGGCTTTTTGTTATAAGTAAGGTGATAGAGAGGTGCATAAATCGCGAGCTTCTGAACTACCGCGAACGTCACAGCTTGATTAGCGGTAGGCAGTATGCAAGCGTTCGATCAGTTGTGGCACGCTGCTCTCTTAAGCAAACTTCCATCCTGTGAACTCTCAGAAAAGCTTTTCAGATGGGTGGCTGACTTTGTCTCTGGCCGCGAGATATCCATTGTAATTGACAGGTTCTGGTGTTACCATCGAGAGTACAAGGCCAAACAACTGAGCTGCGAAAAGACTGTGACGTCACGAAGAGTCGCCTATGCATATTCTTATGGAGTTTCGCAATGCTGGCCGGCAAGAGGGCCGTGCCACCATTTCTATGCGGTGTTGACATATCTAGATTTGATATAGCAGTGTCGAAATCTCTACTAATTAGTTGTACCTCTCTGTAGGCGAATTTGCAAGATATAACTCGGGGCTGCACAGCTTCAGTGGTGATGTAATTATTCTTTCTGATATGCCTCATTATGTGAAAAATACATTTTCGGTAGTACGTTCAATCGGTGGAGTCTATGAAGTCTAATATTCTATTCAAAATTGGAATATGTGGCAACCTGGGTGACCCCTCTAACATCCAAAAGGTACACCCTATTGCACGAGTATCCATCAGGGGACAATAACAGCTAGTTATCTAGTAGGATTTCATATCGGCAAAGGACATATAATTCTGATGGATCCGTTAATGCCAGATAGACTGAACAATATTTTTCTTTGGTTTTTTGTACGCAACAGATTCATTTTTTGCTTGCTAAAAGTTTTTTTATCTAGAAAACTTTACTTGCATACAAAAAACAAAAGGCTACAAACACATTTTTGATACATTTACATCCTATTCATTATAGCCAACGTTGCAGATTAACGCAAAAATGTAACTTGCTGATCAACTGTTCACCTCGATAGACGTTAAAGCGTGATGGATACTCGTGAAATAGGCTGAACAACCAACTAACCTCAAATTCTGAGCAGCTATTATGTATATTTTATTGCTTTGTAAACCGTAAATTATAGTTTTAAACTTATACAGTTTCACAACTTATCCGACAAATTTTAACCACATACGCACTATTACGAAAGAAGTTGATTACTCCAAAAAAATGTAATAAAAGTTCTACTGAAATCGAGATAATAAAATAATAGTTCAATAGATCACTTACTTATAAAAGCTGTTCAAAATTGTTTCCATTGACTGCAATGCAAGCTTGGGTGCGACTAATCCAATTTTGGCGCACTAATTAAAATACACCTCCTTCTTGCTGTGCCTGAAGGCTCAAATTATCGGCAGCCACTGTAATTCGGTCACGTAATTCTTCAGTATTCTGAACGAAACGAGAAACCGCTTCCGAATTTTGCCCTGCTTCTCCGTACGCTAAAACAATGTCCACTAACTCCTCATTACTCTACAGGTGTGCCATTTGTATTAATAAATAACTAAAAACATAAACTCGCTAAATACTTTCTTATTTAACTTCACAAAAATCGACCGTTCTTCATTCAGGTCACCCACGATACAGATTAAACCTTACTTAGACGTTCTTATCAGTATGAAAAAACAAAAAATTCTCTGTATTTTGTTTTTGTCAGTTGTTTGGTACAACATTTGCTACAATAAATTATTAATGCGTGTTCTAATATCACAACGATGAACGCAAAATACAGATATTTATTGTTCAATTTATTATTGAAACTCAGGTTTATAACTTAATTTCTGTAGGACCTTTATTAGATTTTTTTGAGAAATCAACTTCTTTCGTGCATATGTGGTTAAAATTTGTCGGATAAGTTGTCTCGCGATTGTTTCTCCAAGTTTTCAAAATGCCTTACAAGTGCTGCGTTTTCTAATTGTGCCGGTATTACGGGAAAGGTCCGAAGGTACACGTATATTCATTTCCATTGAATGAAAACTGTCGCAAAAGGTGGATCAATGCAATCCCTCGTAGTGATTTAGTGCTTACAAAAAACACCAGACTGTGGAATTTATACTTTGCTGAGGACAGCATCATTTGGGAATCCACCTTCCATGACAGGGTGGATCATTACTTTACCCAAAATTAAAGGCAGATGTAATTCCAAGTATTTTTGTAAATTGCCCAAAATATATTTCAAAGGACATATCAAGCAGAAGAAGCCGAAAGGAAAAATTGAGCGACAAGTAACAAGAACAACTACTTAAAGCACTGCAAAGTAGCATTGATGATTATTACTCATACCAAAATTATTTAGACTTTATCCCTTTAACCCTTTAATTGTTGATAAAGGTATCAATGTAAAAACGTTTATGTACTCCCAAGAATTGTCACTCAACTCAGGTAATATTAAAACTCCATTTTTAT